TTTTTTCCAGGAAATATCTTAATATCGCAGATAAAATAATGAAATTACTTAAGTGGTCTCCTGATTTCGACTCAAATCATGAATCTCCCACTGTCCTGGTATGATTTAGTTTACCTGGTCTCAAACTGCATTTTTTTTACCATCAGGTTCTCTACTCTATTGGGGCCATCATTGGGAATCCTTTGAAGCTAGTTCCGCATACTTTCAACCTAACCAGACCCTCGGTGGTCAGAATACTTGTTTAAAGGGATATTACTTTACCTGATGTTACTGAAGTCTGGCTGGGCACAACCAATAATTGTTATTGACAACAAATCGTCATGGAGCACAACCCCCATATTGTACCCACTGTATGATGTTTGGTCATGTCCTTGATAATTGCCACAAGTTTCATCCAAATTTGAAATCTATGGTTCAAGTGAATAAGGATGGGTCTAACCCCGCTGCTCTAGACATTTTAGTTCCACCTGGGGAGGATACTACTAGACAGAAGGTGTCTGTTGCCCCTGAGGACCCCCCATGATATTGTTGTTACTGTTACTGCGAGTGATGTGATGCTGACACCTTAAAACCCCATAAAAAAACAATACTGACAGACTATTGCCTACAAATGATAGTGTTCAGACTGATAATCAGGAGAGTTGTAGTTGCACTTCTTCTGGAAATATCTGGTGTAGAGGCAAATCATACTTCACATATACTAGAATCTATTGTGGGTACTACGGTTGGTATTTCTTCTGCTTCAGCTGTACCACCCCATCAGACTGATTCTTCGGAAGAGGAATGATATGTCTATTCCAGGAGGAAGAAGAAGAATGGAGGCTGACTTTAGTTTGAGAATATATTGGATGATACATTGTTTACTACTGGCAATGATAATCATCTTACCAACTCATTAGCTTGTTCCTTCTCTAGAACTAGAGACAGAGACATGACCAAATTGGGTCGCTCTCTAGCCACCTGATACTATGTATTTTGACATTGTTAGGTTTTTTATTTAAGTATCTAATGTATTTTTCTATTTTTTTTAGTTTTAGAATCATTTGTGATTTTTGTGCGGGCAGGGTGCCATGCTTGGGCCCTCCCACACTCTGTATTTGTATCTTTCTTTCCATTTAATAGATTAGCCTTTTTGGGCTTTTATATATATATGCATTTATAGGCATTTTTAATTTGAATCAAAGATATTAAAGCCTTAAATTTATAGGGGTAAGGTGACGCGAACTTTCTGTTCGAGGGAAAGGAAAGAATCGTGACTGTGTTGTGTAAAGTCAAGCTCTAATTTATGTACTTGAAGACAAAGGTGAGTTAGGGTTTCATTATATTTTAATTAATGAATCTAATATAAATATTATGTATTAAAATATTAACAATATGATTAATTAAATAAGAACTAAGATGTAGAAGTTCAGCTTAGAAGGAGAAAAAGTAGGTGAAGTGTGCAAGCTAAGGGAGAAGGGAGATCAACCTGAGTAATTTTTGATAAGGTAAGAGTTTGTGTATTTTATTTATATTAAATGTCATGTTTAATTAATTAAGATGCTATTAAGTAGACATTAATATAATGAATTTAAATCAATGATTAAGGGGGCAACAAGTGTTAGTTGAAGAATAATGAAATCAAGGAAAGAGAAAGTCATAATGGATTTAGATGAGTAATTATATTTTTAAATTTTAGTAATCTTCTTTATTTCAAAATGTATGTTGATTGCAAGTATGCTCTAGTTTAGTTAGATTTATATGACAATAAATTCTTCATATTATTAAATAAAAAAATATGAATGAGAGATGCATGATATGCATGATAGATATGATAGGAAATATATTCATTATAAATAGTTGCACATTAGAGAAAGTATGCATATCAGTAGATGAATGAAAATATATCAAAATAATGTATGTTATAAAAAATGAAATAGTTTATATATGAATGCTTCTATGTGCATGTTAAGAGGAGTTCAGTCCCTCATGATACATACATGGGATGCCAGTGCGCCCACGTGGTAGTTGTTTTTCTCCCGCCCAAAAAAATTGTGATATGATCACCAATTGATGTGCCAACAGGAGAATATCGGCCACAGAAGAGTAGATGCCTGGACATTTTATCAAAAATTGTCCTAATTCAACTAAAAAATCTACTTCAGATGCTAACTTGGGAAAGGATTCAACTCAGATGAATTTTCAGGAGGAGTTTGCTTTTATTAGTGTTCAACAAAGAATGATAAAAGTCAATCTTGTAACTCGTGAGGAGCGACCAAGGAAGAACATTCGACCAAGAGTTTATTCTCTAACTAATCAAGGCTCTGAAGATCATGTTGCTATGGATGCTTAAGCATAGAGTTTGATGGAGTGATTTGTCATTTAAGTGTCACGTTGGTTATCTAGTATTGAGTGTTGTTATGTATTTTCATTTTAGAAGCCAAGTGTTGTGTTAGCTATATTGTTATGATTCAGATTTTTTGGGATTATTAATTGAATGATTTTTTCTGAGATGTTAGATTTCTCATTTATGGTTTAATTAACAATTAACAAGAAATAAATTTTTGTTATCGTTTTATATTTCATCTACATAAAGTTTAGCTTGTTCGAAGTTCATGAATTTCGAAGATGAAATTTTTACATGGAGGGGAGATTGTAATAACTGAAATTTATTAATAACAATAAAAAAATATTAATTATTGACTAGTGTTGTCGACGCCGTAGACAGGTTACCACCTTATACAATTGTAAAAGCTGGTGCTTGCGTGGTTATCGACGCCGATGGAAGGTGGAGACGTCTGTGTTTCCAAACGAAGAGGGAGACGAAAACTAGTCAAGGAGGCAACAACGTCGTGCTCTCGTATGGAGGAAGGGGTAGCCTCAGTTGAGGCCGAGCAACTCATCTTGCGTGAGCAAAGAAATAGGCCAATCAACTAGTTTGCGGGAGAAAGGAGGAAGGGCATGTGACTTTGGAGTTGCGCTCACCGTGACCGAACGCAGCGGAAGAGGGAGAAGAAGGTGCTTGTGTGTGATTTTGCTTTCAACCTAGACATTTTAAATATTTTAATTTTTTAATTAAGTTATTTTATAGAAATTATATATATATATATATATATATATATGTTTAAATCACTGCAACTAGCTTATTCATGTGATTTTATTGTATAGAAATGGTGCAGGTTCGAATATTGTTTATATGTTATTTTTAAGAGCATTTGAAATTTGAGTTGAAGATATTAATGTCTTGAATTTATATGGCTAAGGTGACATGAACTTCTTGTACAAGGGAAAAGAAAGAATCGCGAGTATGAAGTGGAGAGCTAAGCTCTAATTTATGTAGTCGAAGACAAAGATGAGTTGTGGTTTAAGTATATTTTTTTAATGAATCTAATATACATATTATATATTAACAATATGTTTAATTAAACCAAAATTAAGTTGTTGAAGTCCAACTTGGAAGGAGAAGAAATAGTTGAAATGTTTGAGACGAGGGAGGAGGAAGATCAACTTGAGTAAAGTTCGGTAAGGTCCGCTAAATTTTGTGCATTTTATTTATATTAAATGTTATGTTTAACTAATTAAGATGCTATTAAGTCGACATTAATATAATGAATTTAAATCAATGATTATGGGTGCAACAAGTGTTACTTGAAGAATAAGAAAAAGAGAATTCAAGGAAAAGAGAGTCATTCAGGATTCAGGCGTGTAGTTATATTTTTAAATTTAATAATCTTTTTTTATTTCAAAATGTATGTTGACCACATGTATGCTCTACCTTAGTTAGATTTATATTACAATAAATTTTTTATATTGTTAGATATAGAAGGATATGAATGATAGAAAATATATAAAAGATCTGCACAAAAGCTATCTATGATATGCAAGATAGACGTGATGAAAATATTATGCATGATAAATAGTTACACATTTGAATAAATATGCATGTTAGTAAATGAATGAAGATATCTCAGAAGAACATATGTTATGAAAAATGAAATAATTTATATATGAATGCTTGTACATGCATGTTAAGAGTTTACACTCCAATGGTATAGACGAGGGATGCCAGTTCACCAGCACGCGTAGTTATTTTTTTTACCACCACAACCAATTGTGATATGATCACCAATCGCTGCGTCGACGAGAGAATATCAGTCAGGGACGAGTAGAGAGATTACCACCTATATAATTGTGATGTTTAGGTCACTAAATGCTGTGCCGACACGATATTATCGTTCAGGAGCGAGCAAGTTTTTTTCCGCCTCAGATATATATGATATTTAGATCACTAATTACTATGTCGACGGGATAATATCGAGCAAGGATGTCTTAGGTTGTTTTGACGGTGATCTTCAAATAGATAGATGTGTATGTTAAGAGTATAAAGTAAAAGTAAAGTTAAGACATATAGAAGTTTAGATTATTTTTATTTGATAATTATTATTCACATATTAGATTATTATTTGTTTTTTTGTAGAAATATGAAAGATCAGCATGCATATTGTTTTCTCTTCCTTAATGTAATTTAGAAGTGTGATTACTCCTGGGTTATCTTTAAATAACTCATTGTGTGGATTTAATGATTTTTTTTAGGTTTTAAGCTTTTAAACAAGATGAATAGAAAATAAGCTAATGTGTACAATATAAGAGAACAACAACTAGAAAGATAAAAGCTTCTACTTGTTAATTTAATTGCTTTTTAAGTGGTTTTTTTATGAATTTTTGAATATTAAATGGTTAGTGGTAGAAATAGAATAGCGGAGAATTTCTATTGTCGGACTGTCCATTCTCGTCTTGCTTAATTTCATGCTTCCGGCTGGGTCGTGACATCTCTGGCTTGACTTATTCACTACTCACCAAGCATAGTAGATTTTTGATATCTTCCAAATGGTTTATTAAACTTTGACTTTCTTTTTTAGATTAGGACTTACGATCAATATTTGCACTTAAAAGCGATAATTTTTCTTTTCAATGGTTTCAAATAGTCTATTTCTATTCCCAACTGATTATGTACTTTTTAGGTCTCAAGTATATGTCAAAGTTAGATGAGTTTGAAGCCTTTGTAGAAAAGATGGGAAAGTATTCCTTGCTTTGTCCTAGCAATGCTGGAGCATCAAGGAAGCAAGCTATTGTTGTAATTGATGATCTCCCTATCACAAATGGAAGAGTTGCTTTTGGGAGATTAAAGAAATGCTTAACTACTGTCAGTGATTCTGCTCAACTTCCAGTCGTTATATTGATAACAGAATATCATAAAGTTGGGCTTGGTGATAATTCAACAAGGCACAATGAAGAGCTTGTGTCATTTCTTGAGAGAGCTGGTGCTCACAAGGTAAAATCTAAGTGACTTTACATGAAGCAGATATTCTCAAGCTATGACATTATTAATAGTTTGGAAATGTAATGTTCTTTATAAATTTCTCAAACATTCTTTTGTAGGTTGCTTTCAATCCTCTTACAGTAAATTCCATCAAAAAAGTTCTTTCCATGTTATGCAAAGAAGAGAAGTGTGATGTGATTCCCGAACAGATTGATCTGATAGCTAAGGCTAGTGGTGGTGACATAAGAAATGCAATAACATCCTTACAGTACTACTTCTTAAGGCCATATAATTTGCTCAGCTGTACTACATCAACTCTGATGGAAACCAATGACAGATTTGACTCAGATGGATCTAGGTTATCACCGTTTACAGGACTTATTGAGCGAAGGGAAGTCAACTTTAGTTCGCGCTTTCCATTCGCAAAGGATGAAACACTTACTCTTTTTCATGCCTTGGGAAAATTTCTGCACAACAAGAGGGAGGAAGTGGATGCATTATACTTAGGTATACATGCAGAATGAATCTTCATAGAACCTTTTCTTTTAAAGTAAAAGAATTGAATATTAATTAGAAGTTAAGATTTAACGGAAGGGAATTCTATAATAAGTTATTGCTGGCAAATGAATTGGTGATTAACTTATTTATGGATTTTTTATCGGGGCATTTACATATGCAGCACACAATTCTTATGTATTTATATCTCTCATACCTAAACTTTTATATTTTCACATGCATCGGTCAAATATTTAGTATCACATCAGAAATGACACTATTACCACCTTTTAACCGTGAAATATATAGTTTCATGCATTGATTTAAGGCGTCAAATTGTTATGGATATAAATATGAAAGTTTAGGTGTGAGATATGTAAAGACATAAATGCTACGTATGTAAATTTCCTTTTTTTTTTAATTTTATTCTTACGAGTGTATTCTATAGGTTTTCGGTTGTTTTGATGGAATAGAAATGAAGTTACAATGTTTAAAAGAAATTGCCTTCATTGGTTTTGTGGTTTTGAGCAATTATATTTTTTTCCCTTGTATGTTAAACGAGTAAAAGATACATCACTCTAATGCTTATAGCTGCTTCAAGCCAGTTGTATTTTGATAAATGTAATGCATGCCATCATTTGATACCTGAATTTTGATTTTGTGCTTTAACAGATGACATGTACATGGAGTTTAGTGTACAAATCTCAGGTTCTTATAAATATAGCAGCTTTATGGGACTTTTGAAAAAATGTCATTTTCTAGTATTTAATGTTTTCTGAACACTTCTGCTCGTGTTCTGCAGTTGTAATGCCTTTTTGATGCAAATTCAGTGTTTATGTTTGAGTTGCAAATTATGTATTAGAAGAAGGTTGGATGGTACCATTTTCGCCACTGTTTTCTTTAATTATGTATTAGTTCCTTGCAAGTGTGTAGGCAGAAGAGGTGGAGATACGTTTGAGGCCGCACAGTTTGATTGAGGCAGCATAGCTTCTATTCAGGGTCACCTAACATATTTCTTCCTAAATCGAGAGTCTGTCTGAATCGGTCAAATTATATGAATGGTTTGGAGTTTGGCCATTTAAAACTCCATGCACCCATCTCAACTGGCTAGTTTTTGTATTAAATACCAGTTCACTTGTTCAATTCTCAGGACATAATGTGTAACCTCCATTTATCAGTACATATGTGCGCCTACAGTTATAGACACTGATCTAATTTAATTTAGGTACTCTATTAGGCTCAGTAATGTCCTAACCTTTGAATTTGAGTAGGAAAGAAGGTTTACACCTATTCTTTAGTTTTTATTACGATCATTCAAGAGAGTTATAATTCTAATTATGACATCTGATGCTACAGGCTCAGAATCCCCTGTTCTCAAAGACAGATATGTGAGGAAGCCTCTAAAAATGGATGCTCCAGAGTTGATTATTTCTCAAGCGTATGGGCAAGCAATGCCCGTTACCGATTTCCTGCATGAGAATGGTGATCTTTTATTGTTAATTTCCTTGCATCAAGTAGCTCGGTACTCCTTGATTCTCTTAGATAATGATATGTATAAGTCATGTGCAAAGTTTTTATATCAACTGATTTCCAAAGATTTGATGTTATCATCATGTTTTGTTGTTCATATTTCCTTGGATTTGTTTGTTGTGCTACAAGATTTAGTCCAGCTTGCTATTCCTAGTCAATTATTGAAAATCATAGTTTTGTCCTTATGGTTAAATTGTTCTGCTGTTGTTGTGTCAAAAAAATTGAAATGAAAATTACTCTCAAGTCGTACTTTGTAGAATTCATGCATTTGCAGCTCATGAAAAAACTAAGCTGTATGGCTTGCTTTATGTTCTTTGTAACTTCTCTTCTTTTACTTAGTTGTTAACTTTTAATTGTTTTTTTTTCATTTGCGGTTTTTAGAACCTGATTTTAAACACTTGCTACAGTTTGCCCTTTTTTTAGTGAATTTTTTTTGTGCCAAAATTCTGACTTCGACGCAATAAACCTTATGAAAATTAGTGATGGCATTATTCGTGTTGCTATTACCTTGCACTGCAGTGATACGTATGATAGTTATCTGAGAAGTTGATAGAATATGAAAATGTGTGATCTTTGTCATAATTAGAAGGATATGATTTGATGAAACGATTAAAAGGAGCGACTTATGCCTGGATGAGGGTTTCTAGCCTTGAACATAGCTCCTATGAATTGTATCATATTAAAGTAAGAAGGGGAGATTGTCGAGTTTAATGGATTGACATTCCTTTAAAAAAATCTCAATATCCATGCAGACATGCTTGTGTGACTATCATGCTCTAAGCTACATTTGCACTCTCTCCATGACCTCAGCATTCTCCACATTTGCCATATAATAGTTATTATGACCTCTTGCATCTCTATTAGAAATTTGTGTCAAAGATGAGCATTTTTCACTGAGCTCATTCCTATAGTAAGAGCCGACATCAACTCTATATTAAATTGTTGATGTGTATGATGCTTCAACATTGTCTATTTTTTCATATAGGATCGGATCTCCTCATTTACTGTTTTTGACATTTTAACACAGGGTGCACCATTTGTGTATAAGTTGGAGAGCTGTTCCTCTATCCTTGTAACACACCCTTTAATTACTTTTTTACAGTAGTTGCAATTCAAATAAACATATATTTTATTGTTGTCCCAAATGTCATTTTGTACATTATTTCTCCATGTTAGATCCTTCCTATTACCCATGCATTTCTCTGTCTCTAATAATTTTTTCCTAAACCTTAGAAACAAAAAATTTTGCGTTTAAAAAATCTAAATTATGTACAAATAATGAAACGAGAAATATTTAAATTAAATAAATTATATTCAGGAAAAAAGTTAAGGTTTTCAAATTACCACCGGAGATACAGAAAAAAACTTGGATGTGATACCGATGGCAAAGATGACAGTACCTGCAAGCAGGACAGACAGTGGCTGCAAGTGATATTGATAACGATAGCTAGTGCGATAAGAAGGGATGGTGGCGGCTGGGCTGCAAGGAGGGATCGGGGCAGCAGCCAAAAGAAGAGATAGTGACAACTGCAAGCAAGGACGGCAGTAATGACAATTGCATAGGATGGATGACAGGGTTGGGGCTGCATGCACGAACGATGACTGCTCGGGTTTCAAGGAAGATGGCTACAATAAAGACAGTCACTGGAGGTTTGCTGTAGCATGGAGGCTGGCAATGAAAGCGGCGATGGCAGTTAAAAAATAAAAGGATGCATATTTCTTGTATGAACGAGTGGGTCTATCAAGAGTTGAAGGGGACATGAATGTGTGAGGGGTTTCGTAAGTTGTGATTGCATGATTTATTCAACATTTATTAGAAAGACCTAAATGCATTACCTCACACATAGTGAGCTGAAGCGAGCCTTAGTAGGGGTGAGGTACTCATCTCACCTTGAATTTATTAGCGTAGCCTCATTTTAATTTGGCTAAAAAATACGCTGGTGGTACATCCTACTATGCAATTTTAAATAGGGGCAAGAGAAATTATTGAATAATGCCTTCCTTATTAAGGAATGAAGATATAATTTGATTAAAATAATCAAAACTATTATCAGTCCTAAGTTTTTAACATGACACCAATTTGAATTTTTTACCATGAAGATAAAAATTAGAAAAATATGACTCGTATCAAACTTTTGTTTGATGGCATAAAACAATGTCACTTTAGTATAATCATCAATAAATATGATATTTTTTTTAGCAATATAAAGCATTTTTGTCTCACAATTTAGCCTAGTAGCTTAGAGTTATTTAGATAGAAACAATCAGACAGTAGAGACGTAATATTCTAACAAATAAAATAAGTTAAAAATACCTTTCTAACAATCAAGAGCTAAAACCTCATCTTGATTTAAGTGTCACATATGAAGATCAAGTTTCATACTATAAATTTTAGCGAATAGCTGTAAAATAAGATGCAGTGATTTCTTGTTTTCTATTTTTTTTATTCCTTGTACATGCAAACTCTCTCCTGCTAGTTATTTGATTAGTAGCAATTTTTTCAGCAGTAAAAAATAAATAATAGATTTTTTCAAACATTAAATTAGTAGATAATTTTAATTCTACAGAATACTAGTTCTTATATATAAGAGCTAATATGTATGAAATTCAGAGCAAGCGAATAATGGTATTTTCATTTTATTAGAATTTTTAAATAAATATGTTAAAATTATTTGTAAGAAATTCTCTAAGGAGTACCATCAAATATTGTACAATTTAAGCTACATTCATTTCTACTTTCTTAAACCATGTTTATTTTATGGGAATGGGTCCAATAACATTCCCATTTAGTATCCTAATTAAAAAACTCCTTTGATTAACTTATACATTGATTTTATTTTATTATCATTATGTTACTTTCATTCATTTGAACCATACTTAGATTTTTTAATGTGCATGCAAATGTGTTTTCAACATATGATAAAGTTATATGATTAAATGAAAATAGTTGCCATGTAAAATTTTTATTTTAATGATAATATGAATCATAATAATTAAGTTACTCTAGACCATTTAAATAAATATTTTTTTTATAAAAATTGTTTTTGTAAACTTCTTTAATATTTAAAAATTCAATAGAAACAAACATATCTTAATTGAAATCATCTCAAAACGTTCTCACATTTCTTATTAGCATCCTTTTCATCCCAAATTTTCATGGAATTCATACGATGGTCTTGACTGTGAGATCATTTTAAATCATATTTAATATCTTCTCATGCTCCTCTATATAAATCAAATCAGATTGTATATTTGTTGAATCTACAATAATTTTATTTGATTCATTGGTCATATTTTTTAAGTGTAGATATATGAAGTACATCTTGTATTCCTTGCATGTGTGCTGGTAAATTAAGCCATTGTTTTATTTAATTAATAATTTCATATGACCGTGCATATTGTGGACTCAATTTTTCTTTTTTTTTTCCCGAATGTTTATTCAAATTGAGCTTGATAAATGCCAAGTTTCAATCTATTTGGATTTATCAAATTTTCTCAATAGTGTCATCTACTAAGTCAACACTGATGACTTTATTTCCCTATTTTAGCCCATAATGTTACATATTTTTTGTTCTTCTTGATTACTCTAACCTTCTATTTAGGGTTATGATATTTGAAGGTTCTCAAATATCGCAGTTAATTATCATGAAAGGAGTTGATCTAAAACTTTTAGGAAAGGAAATTCTATATTGTTTAGCAATTTTATAGACATCATGATGGAACTTCTAATGTCAAACTTTATAAAAAAGAGGAGAAAAAAATGTAATTTAGGATTTTAAAAGGGGCATGCTCTAGTATGTAATAACTATCTTGGATATTTTCTTTATTTAGAACAAGTATGAGGGAGCTGGATGAGTGGTTATTTTTGTCACACCTCAACTAACAGGTAGGGTTAATCGTGGTGTGATAAAGGCTGACAACTTGGTCAGGCAATCTCACCAGTACCAGTACTCGTACTGACTTTAATAATTAAGACTCAGTGGGCCGCAACATACGAAATACATTACATTTCATATTTTATTCATATTCATACTCAGAAGCATGAATATCATATCATTCAAAATATGAGAACTATACGGAGTTGCTAAATACAATATATCAAAAGTACGTACCCAAAACATATTTACAAGCTCTCAAAATTATCATGTAAAAGCTGTCATAAAACACACCTAGCTACTCTGCCCGATGTTTGTTTCCCCTGCCTGAAAGGTAACATTGAAGAATGAGCAACAATGAGCTTAGAGAAATAATTAGAGCTAATATAAGCTTTTATACATAAAAAAGGAACATGTATGCTTGTTGAAAACTGTATATGCCTACACATAAGTAATAACATGTTAGCATGGCAGCAAACATGAAAAGAGAGTGGGTAATGTAAAAATTAAGTTTGCAGTGTAGCATGTAGATCGTTTGCATGAAATTATAAACATAATCAAAAATATGTTCGTAGGCATATTCATGATTTGTTTATTGTATGTAATCATATCAATGTCATTTCATAGTACTCACTTATTTAATATATAGGACAACTATTTTCATGTCCTTCATTGGTTGTCACCCTACCCCAAAGGCCTTATAACCTATTGATAAATGTTCAGTTTCCCGCAACATAGCAGTTATTGATACACAAAAAATATATGCATTTTTAGACCCATATTTTATATTCATTTTTGGTGATATCGCACTTTAATGGAAGATATTTTTATATTTTATTGCAGGTTGATTTTTAGGAGTTGAAGGAAAAAGGAAAGTAAAAATGATAGAATTTAGAGTCAAAATGACGTTTTTGAAGGAATGCTTAGCGTCGAAAGCGCCAAGAGCAACGCCGACGGTACAGACGAACAAAACAGATGGTGAATTTTACTCAGCGCAGACGACGCCAGAAGCAGCGCCGACAACGCCAGAAGCAGCGCCGACGATACTGTTTGACAGAGAGCAGCGAATTAAATAGC